AATTTAATTAATGTGCTGCATTACTTGTTCTAGAGGATGGCTAATAATTTTTGGACAGAGAGTTGTATGAACATGGCCTTAAATCTGTTTGTGTATCAAACTCTGCATGCCTTATAAAACAAGCAAACAAAACCACAAAATTCTTCCAGTACAGTATTTTTCTGTGGTCAGACAGTGACTATTAGAGCTGACTACATTTAATTGCAAATGTAGGAACATTCATTTGATTTTTTTTTGAAGTCTAGTTTCAGTGAACTAGTTGGAAACACTCACTGATACGCCAAATTCTCTCCAAAGAAGGAAGGGACAGAGGCAATGAGCTAAAATGGCACAAGAACAACTTGAAAAACTTCAACAACTGGCAAGCATCAGAGAGATTCAGTTCCTGTGCCGATATTCACAGGAAGAAACTAGCAAATTTTAGATTGATGTCCTTTGGGAAGCTAGTAAAAGATTTTATTTCTAGTTCCTTCTCCCAAAGATCAACTATTGAGCAGAACAAATACTAGGGGAACGTGAAAGCCCAAAAACCCCACCTGCCCTGTAATAACTGTTTGCCCCAAGGGAGATCGGCACTGCACACTTCTGCTTTTCCAGATGCTCTTCACTAACAGAGGAAGACATCTTGCTACCCTTAATGGACTTTCTTTGTGCTCTGGACTCAAATACAATGAGATGTCAAGCAGTTTCTGAATTTCATGAGAACTCATGAAGATTGACAGATTGTACCACCTACTTCTAGAGGGGTAGTTTTAAGGAAGGATGTAGAAATGACAATAGTACTTGTTGCACTCAGCACTGCATCTTGGTTTTCACTTGAAAAAGAAGGACCAGTGAGTAGTTACCAACACAATCCAGCCCAGAGAAAGCATTTTCATGTGCAAAATACGGTATATGGAAGCAAAGTGAGACCTGACACAAAGAAGAATACATATAGTCCTGTACTGAGACTGAACATAATCGTTTTGTACTCCTGCCTTTATTTCTCCTAAACTAGAGCAGCTCTCGTGAACATGTTTTCCTGCCTACTGGTAAGAGTGAACATCATACCAATCCCAAGGACATTGTTTGTCAACACTGTAACTGACCTTTCATGCCAGTATCTCCTGGATATCCTGGAGGTCCCACACAGCCTGGCTCTCCAGGAAGACCTGGTAGGCCAGTTCTAAATGTTATTCTACCTGTTAAAAAAATAAACATAGCACCATTATTTCACTAGACTGTTCAGATATTTTTCTATTTGCTGACAGAAAAAGAAGGTTCAGTGATCAGATAGAGACAACATTCATTTAAAAGAAAGAATAGTCTGGACAAATCCAAACTATTCTTGTTTGAAATACTGAAACCTCACCTGGTTCCCCAGGGGGACCTGGCAACCCAACAGAACCAGGTCTGCCAGGAATCCCAGGTAGTCCTGGAGGGCCCACAATGTGCATGCCAGGTTGTCCTTTCTCCCCTTTTATTCCTTTTGGCCCAGGAAATCCTGGGGGACCTCTCAGACCAGGTCTTGACATACCTAACCAAAGAGAAAAAATGCAAAAAGAATTGCAGAAGAACCAGAACTTCAAAGCGAAGCAAGCAGGCAGAGTTCAGCCAAAAAGTCTTTGCTGTATTGTGATAGAAGTTCTCTATACAGCTGGCACATAGAAACTTTGAAGTGATGAGTTTTTGTCTCTTAGAGATGACTTTAAAAACACCTTAAAGATTACACAAAGCTAATAGGGTGTAACACAGAGGATAGACAATGTATTTTATTGTGCTGCTGGATCACTACACCTACCTGGTCTACCAGTATCTCCAGGAGGACCCCTTGGCCCTGCAAAAGCAAGGTATTTAGAACCTTGGTTAGATTGCTCTATACTTAGCAAAATCACAATAACATTAATTGCAAACTTTGGGTTTTGGCATTTTATGCTAATTTTATCTTTTAAGAAT